TTGTCATTTAGAGTGTCCGTGCTAAATAGAATTGGCTATAAGTGCCTGATACTTAGCTTTTGATTAGGGTGGTGAATGTAGCTTCCCATCCAGTTCATGTCTTTGTTTAGACCTTGGTTAAAGATGTCAAATTTGCAAATAAAGGCAAGTTCTGCAGCTTCTCTCTCCAGCTGGTTTTTGAAATTGCTTTGTAAGAGTATAGTCATTTTGATATCTATTAATGAGTGCCTGGGCAAGTTAAAATGTTCCCCAACAGTTTTCTGTGTGTTACCGTTTCAAATATTTGATTTCTGTCCATTAATCCTTTGCCGTAGAGACTGGCCAGTTTGGCCAGTATACATGGCGGAGGGGCATTGCTGCCACTTGATGACATAGATCACATTGTGGATGTGGATATGAGCCTCTAATGTGTGGGGTTATGTGTCAGGTTTTGTGATGATGTCCCTTATAGAGATGTGAGGACAGAGTTTGCATCAGTGTTTATTGCAGGGGTGGGTTCCAGCGTAAGTATGACTGAGATGTGTTGCATGGTTGCTAGAAAGAATTTGTTTCAGGTTAGGGGATTGTCTGTGGGTGTGGATTAGCCTGTCCCCCAAGGTCTGTGAGAGTTGAAACTTAAAAGTTTTTTTTATTTACAGACTAACATGGCTAACCTTTGAAACTTTTAAACGGGAGAGGGTGTTTATGAAAATTTTCATTGCGCTATAATTTGTCTTTAATGATATATTTGTTGTCAGTTGTATCATCTTATTGTAATTCTGATGAAGCTGGCACCTCTTGTTACTTATATTTGTTATTCAGGCAACATCAATGTGTTTGGTACTGTACAAGACACTGCATTTAGACAAGTTCTTGAAAGAGCTATCCGTGATCCATCCCTTGTTGTCCATTCCCAGCTTCTGGCAATCAGAGAGTTAGGTGCATCCAAAGGATGGGGTTACATCCCTGACCATCATGTCTAGTGTCAATTGAGGAAAATTTCCTCCATGAACATATCTAATTCTTTTTTGAACTTAGTTACACTTTTGGCCTTATAATATCCCCTAGCAGTGAGTTACGTAAGTTGACTTTGCATGGTACATAAGAATGGCCGTACTGGATCAGACCAAAGGTCCATCTAGCCCAGTAGCCTGTCTGCTGACAGGGGCCAGCACCAGGTGCCCCAGAGAGGGTGGACTGAAGAAAATGATCAAGCGATTTGTCTCCTGCTATCTTTGTCCAGCCTCTGACAAACAGAGGCGAGGGATACCATTTCTATCCCCTGACTAATAGCCTTTTATGGACCTAACCTCCATGAAATTATCTAGCAACTCTGTTATAGTCCTAGCCTTCACAGCCTCCTCTGGCAAGGAGTTCCACAGGTTGACTACATGCTGTGTGAAGAAGAACTTTCTTTTATTAGTTTTAAACCTGCTACCCATTAACTTCATTTGGTGTCCTCTAGTTCTTCCATTATGGGAACTAATAAATAACTTTTCTTTATTCGCCCTCTCCACACCACTCATGATTTTATATCTCTATCATATCCCCCTCAGTCTCCTCTTTTCTAAACTGAAAAGTCCCAGTCGCTTTCACCTCTCCTCTCATGGAACCCATTCCAAACCCCTAATCATTTCAGTTGCCCTTTTCTCAACCCCTTTCAAGGCCAAAATATCTTTTTTGAGATGAGGAGACCACATCTGTACACAGTATTCAAGATGTAGGTGTACCATAGTTTTATACAGGGGCAGTAAGATATTCTGTGTCTTATTTTCTATCCCTTTCTTAATAATTCCTAGCATCAGTTCCTCCTTTTGTATGCGCTAAACCTTGCTGTTTACCCCTTTTCCATTTATGAATATGATTAACAGAATTGGCTACATTTAAGATCCTTTACGGACCTCTCTATTTACTTCTGTCCATTCTGAAAACTGACCATTTTTTCTGCCCTTTTCTGTCTTTTAATCAGTAACTTAGAGGACCTTCCCTCTAATCCCATGACTTCTTTCTTTGCTTAAGATCCTTTGATAAGAGACCTTGTCAAAGGTTTTCTGAAAGTCCAAGAGCACTATATCAGTTTGATCATCCAGGTCCACAGATCTGTTGACCCTCCCAAAGAATTCTAATAGATTTGTACGGCATGATTTCCTTTTCCAAAAACCATGTTGACTCTTCTCTAACAAATCATGTTAATCTCTATGACTGATCATTCTGTTCTTTAATATAGTAGCCCCCCGTTTTCCTGGTACTATATTAAAGCTTGCTAGCTCATAATTGCCAGGATCACCTCTGGAGCCTTTAAAAAAAATTGGTGCCACATTAGTAAGGCTGCAAGTCTGTCAAGTAAGTCACAGAAATAATGGATTCTGTGATTTTTCCCTGACTTCTGGGTCTTCTGCAGTGACCAGAGAGTCCACCTGAGCAACGTGGGCAGCTCTGTGCCAACCATACCCATTGCAGCTGGGGCTGTCTCGGGCCACTACTCCCACCCCGCCCCCAGGAGCACAAGGCATTTGAGTGTGGGAGAGGGCTCAGGCCTAGGGCAGAGGGCTGGGGTGCAGGATGGTGTGAACACTGTGAACAACTCTTACCTGGGAGACTCCACAGAAGCAGTGACCTCCCTCAGCTCCTAGGTGTAGGCACAGTCAGATGGCTCTGTGCACTGCTTCTTCCCCCCAGTCACCACTGTTGCAGCTCCCATTCGTTGCAGTTCCCAGCCAATGGCAGCTGTAGAGCTAGCACTCAGGACAGGGGCAGCCTGCAGAGACCCCTGGTTGTGCCTCCACCTAGAAGATGAGGCATGTTGCAATTTCCTGGGATCTGTGTGGAACCAGGAAGAGAGCCTGCTACTCTTGCCAAACCCCTACCCAGCATGAGCAGGGTCCCAGGCTGCCCCCCCCCCAAGCATCTGCGATGCCTCCCAGCACCCCTCTCCACCCGAGCAATCAAGCATCCCAGGACCACCCCTCAACCCCTCACAAGCATCTGTAGCACCCCTGGGCTGCCTTCTGCCCCAGAGCACCCAAGATTTAGTCCGGTATATAGTACAAATCATGGCCAATTTGCAGCTTGTAAATTTTTGTTCACTGCTTGTGACCTATTCATGACTTTCACTAAAAATACCCATAACTAAAATGTAGCTATCCTTCACGTTAGATATCCTTCAGTCATCTGGTACAAAAGCTGATTTACATGATAGAGATTTACATATTATGGTTGCTATTAGTTTTTCAGTCTTATTTTAGATATTCAAATTATTTTTTGGCCTGAGTATTTATACATTTACAATTGCCAGAATTTATGCCCTTTTCTATTTTCCTCAGTAGGATTTGACTTCCATTTTTAAAAGATGTGATTTTTGTTTCTGATCTCCAATTTACTCTATTTTTCAACCATTTTTCTTACCTTACTATTTTTTTTCAATTTGGGGTATACATTTAATTTGAGCTAGGAATATAAAAGGTTAACCAGTTCCCTAGTAAGCATTGAAATGCTTACTAGGTAATCAGTTGGATGGCCAGCCACACCAGACTGGAGCAGTCCTGTTGGACTGGCAGGCAAGATCGTAGCTGT